CATCCCATAGAAAATGGGTCGGGATAAGATAGCAGCAAATGCCGATAAGGACCACAGTAGCATAGAGCAAAGAACAAAAATTGAGGACAAAAACCAAATTAGCACCAATATATGGTTTGCATATATAGAAGTCATAAATCAAGTCAATAAAGTACAGTAACTTTGCTTATTGCTATTCATTTTGGACTAAGTCAGTTCCATTAAGTGTACCCTTTGCCTATAAAAAACGGGTTAAAAAGGATTGAATGAATTTTGGCAAATTTATATAAAATGTAGAAAAAAAGCGAAAAGTAAATACCTTTTCATCACTGATTAGCGCCAATATATGGTTCGATAAAGCCAATCTCGGTTTGTATGCATTAACGTGCCAATCGCAAGACTTTAGGAGGAGACATTTTATTGAAAATGAAGAAAAGGCATTTAAAAACTTATAGACTTTTTCAGGAACGCATTTTCCATTGGGTCGCTGAGGGTAGAAGAAGCCTTTTCGCTTCTTAAAGTGCGCAGTAGCGTCGTGATTCCCCGAGTAAGGGAATTCAACGCAACCCATAAATAAAAGTACGGGTTTCTTGCTTTTCTTCATTTTCAGATGAAACTGAGTATAATAAACATTATCAACAGCAGAGTCGATATATATCTCTATACAAGCTAATCTCTTAACTTTAAATCTCAGCAATGTAAGCTAAGTCATAATATACTTCTAACACATAGACCAAAAAACGATATTATGTATAAAAACTATTAATTTCTTAAGATGTCCTTACCACCTTCAGTATTTAAAAGATTTCGTATGCTTTTTATATGTAAATAAATTCTTCATTAGGTCGGCAAACAATATTCTAGGGTTCCCAAAGAAAGTGGACCGAACCCTAATATTAATATATTGTTTTTTCTGTACTCATTGAAAATGTGTAAAAAGGCTATAACGGTTTTGTTTGTAATAGGCAAGAGGCATATTGGACTGCATAAAGTAAATATTTTCTTACACAGCGTCAACAGCCGAGGTGTTCAATTTTATTAAAACATCGATAACTTGAGTCGTTCTGAGAATACTTCAAAGCTTAAAGAAGCTGGAGACACAAACTGGGACAGACTGCAGCATATTTGAATTATTAGGTACCTTCTTCTTTCCGAAAATATCCCAACCCATGTGGGCGTGTCCGAAAAAATTGACCACAATGCCTGACGCGGATATGCTCAAGTATAAATTGCAAGTTTCATGTTTTTGCTTTAACAAACAAATGGAATCCTATTGTGCTCAAAATTTGAATTAAAATCAACAAATTTAATATCTCACGAGCACTACAATTGAACAGCGTATTTTCCCAAAGTTGCTGTCTATCTTCAGGTTTTTTTTCTTATACCCTGGACTCGATGAGAGTAGGTAAATCGGGTTAAACGCGTTCTTGAACGTGTATGTAACAGGCAGAAGTCATCTCTGCCTCCATAAGGTATGCATATTCCTGCTTAGCGTCAAAATTCAAAAGTCATATTCTATAAGAGATGAAGATTGGAAATGTTACGTTCTGCTCCAAGCTCCACCGCGACATTGCTTCAAATAATTGAACTACTTCGCCGTTTCTATTGAATCGATAAAAGTCGATATTGAAATCCTGTTTTTTTGGCCCATTTCTTAGGGCTTATGAGTTAAAGTTGTCAAAATTGATATAAAGCTTCCAAAATGGTTCAGATTAAGTACAAGCCCTTCGATATAAATCAGTGAATATACAAATACACGATCAACTGCGAGCTGGTATTGCGCGGGTACTAGAAGGACCTACGTTAAAAAATGCAAGTCTCTATCTATTATACGCTCTATTTCCAGCATGCTTGGTTGTGTTATAGGTAGAAAAGTAATGAAGGTATCTCCTAGTCGAGCAGTTCCGACTTAAGCTCTTTATTATTGTTACTCTAGTAGCTATTGTGATGGCATTATGTGCCAATCTATTGAATATCATTTAAGGCAAACAATTTAATTGCTAGAATTAAAACCCGTTTTAAACGCATTCATATTATTCACCCAAGCATTTTACTTTCTGCTGTAGTATGATGTCATGTTATAATATGGAATTCGGAAATAATGCAAGTATCGTCAAGCTCGATAGCATCTAAATGCAAATATTATTTTCAGTTGATCGAAATTTTAAAATTATGGAATTTGTTCAATTGGTACTCAGTGTCTAGTTTGTAATAAGCCAAATCCTAAAAACATAAATATTGAAAAAAAATATGTCAGGTGTGCCGAACCAGATGCAGCTCTCGTTGCACGCACGCATGCTTACAATTACAATTTTTAAATTCTTACTTTTTTATTTGGTAATTGGATAAGAACTGAATACAAATAGTGCGAGGAAGGATGGCCCTTAAATATATATTCCCTATGGGGCCTAAGATGTTACACATTTCCCGAAAATATACCCTCTACTGGGTTTGTACACATATACAGAAATTCTCGCACTTTGCGCTAGCTGCCACCTGGCAAAATTTTTAAGTTTTGGTCCAAATTCATATTGATTTGATGAAAATGGGACGTGTAACTAAATGAGAAACTCTTTGGGCATATAGTATATGAGAATGAATGTAAATGTAAGTTGATGAAATTTCCGAACTCGACCTATTGTAGTTTCGAGATCGACGCTTTCAGGCAAATAGACAGACGTATATGAACGACTAAGACCGTCTTTCTTATTAAAAAGTATATACATACATATAACATGCAAAGTTTCTTGAGTATAGCTTCAAGAAAGTCTATCATATATACAAATGACAAATCGAAATAGTTCGCTTAAGCTGTTCCCGTACTGATAAGGAATATACATATACTTCTTCTTGCCAGAGATATCGATATAGAAACTTATAATACCCTCTGCAAGAACAAACATGAATCTCACATATCTTCATGTGTTATGTTTCCAAACTAATTGCATTTAAATTTAAATGATATTTTAATTACAGAATGAATACATATGTTTGTGTTACATTAAAACTAATAAAAAGTAACTGTGATATTTGATTCTTAGACTATTTAGGAATTCTTAAGAAATCCAAGAATTTGGCTACGCCTGCCTGTAAGGTCGGATTAGCATGCGAACATATCGCAACGAGCCTGTGGGACCCGGTAGAAAGGTTTTCCAAAGAATGCCTTTAAAATAGTCAATCTCCTGGCCATACTTTTTTTGAAAAGTGCCAAATAGATTGCTGAAAAATAAATAAAGAAAAATACATATGATAGAAATAAAGAATATCGATATTAATTAATTAAAAATGTTTAGCTCTGGTGCAAGTGGCTGCGAAGTTATCACAGTGTAAATTGTAAGACTGTAAGTCGAGCGCAGGGACTTTTAGGTTCTAACAACGAAATATATCTTTTTTATTTAGGCTTTTAGCGGATTGTTGGCCTGTGAACAGCAAGCCGCTGTCGATTAAATCGGAATGGAGCATTTCTATTCATTTTTTGGAAAATAGAAATTCGAAGAATCTGATGTATTTCCACAGTTACTGTGTATTTACCTCTCGAAACATTCGCGTCCATACCACCAGGCTCCCGAGTGAGTGCGCGCGCAGTTTTGTCCGTTGTCGTCGTTATCCTGGTCAAAGGTTGTGAACTTCTTGCCGCCGTGATATCGCAGGGAGTCGCCTGCGTCGCCTTTGTAGGGGCCCAGCACATAGAGCAAATATTTCTCCGCTTCGCTGCCAATGCTGAACTGATCATAGAGCGCGAAACGCTCCTCCCGATCTTTGTTACGCATTATAATAAGTAGCTCGTGTTCACCGCTGTTGGTCAGCCGGTTCAATTTATCCAGGCCAATAAAAAACTCAGAGTTAAGCGCACCAAAACCAGTCTTGTATGCATTCCACTCGCGATTAAAATTCTCACTGCCATCGAATCGATAAGCGATCACTAGCCATCCACCGCCGCGCACCTCTTGATCACAGCTCACATAAAAGGGCTCGACATCGGGCGCGATACGGATGCGCACCTGACCGTGCCTTTGATCCAGACAATTGCGCGGTATATCATTGGCATCAGTGACTGAAGGCACGAAAGGTTGAACTGGAAGGCTAAAATGAAAGGGCGAGAATTAATACAGATTGAGATTGAGTTATTGATTGAGTTACCTACATATATACAGCATATCAACATAAGCATTTCGAGCTCAATGACTAAATACGCATATATGTTAATTAATATAATTACAAAATACATAGGTAAGCCATAGGCAGGTTAGAAAGGTATCACTTTTTTTATAATCTCTTGGATAGCTGGCGAAATTATATTTACAACTTACATGCGCGATTCAAGTTGTCCGCTATATGATTGGCTTTTATACTGGTCGATGAGATGTTGCAATTCGTTAATATCCGATCGGAGCGACCGCAGCTCATCGGTCATGTGATGGACACTGTATTAAAGTAACTGTGACATAAGCACAGTTTGAAACTTAATTGAATGCATCCTTGAATATTACTCACCGCGCCATCAGACCTCCTAGCGCAGAGACTGGACAGCCGCCTGTATGCTGCAAAGAAGAGCTGGAGCCTTTGGAGCGGTGTTATTTCAAGCCAACCCTAACATTTACTCACATTGTCCACACGAAGCGGCTCCAGCGAATTTTGTATGATACTTGGTATGGGTTTCCCAGGCAGCGTCGTTGTTGTCGTGCTTAGACAGGCCAAAGCTGTGACTAGTGCTTCAAGAGCCATGCTGGCAGCGAAAAGCGGCTGCTAATAATAAACTAAGCTTTTAACTTCGATTGCAGGCAGCACTCGTCCAAGATAAAGTTTGATGTGTACGCCAACAGCTCGGATAGTTAACTGCGACGCAATCGACCCTCAGGTGGTATGCTATTCATAGACAAGTTACGAGCGGCATATACTGATGCTAGTTGCCAGTCCGACGCATATAATAGAATACTCGTTTTCAATGCGCCCGTGTGCATTTAAATATAAAGCTGAATTGAAATCTAATTGTCGACCTTTGGTGCTGCCACTGGGGGAAAACAACAATAAATTGATCCACAAAAGCGGGACGTAAATCGAAGCTCAGTTTAGCTGTGTACCTGAACATGAGCGTAATGCTGCAACTGGACGCGTTTGTCACAATGCTGGCCTGCCTTACCACAACGCATAACGATCTGGGCAATTATTCCTTGCCCCTCGACAATTCGGTGAGTCAAATGCACACGGTTAAAAGGACAGCAGGCATACATATTTCTACGCAAAATTACCCAAGTCATGCACAACGTGCTCTCTCTCTAAGCCAAAGATATTGTTTGAAATCTTCACATTTTTAAGAATTACACAATTGGTTATTGCATAGACCTGATCTTATATACAACGCAACAAGTTTGATTGGGTGTGCGTCCCCAAGATAATTTTTTTTTTTGTTATGTCAGAAATGATCTTTTTTGTATGTATTATGCATAAATAGATTATTGCATTCATACAACATTATTTGTAAGTATATTTTCGTTCAATGGCAGAAACCAAATGAAAATATATGCAATTTATACCTAATTGAATACATGCTTGTCAACTAAGAATCCATATACAAATTATATCCTACACAGACATCCGGAAGCTTTCCCCTGTCAAAGCTAAGTAGTCTTACTACACGTATTCAGGCACTATCAACAGATATTGCCAGCGCCAAGGAGCAATTAGGCAGCCTGCAGGAGCAGCTGGTAGATCTGCGTCGATGGACTGCCCCCAGAGTTGCCACAGCAGTTACGGCGGACAGGACACTTAGCACGCGCATGTAGGTTATCTGTTTCTGCACAAAATTGAAGTATTTCTAACAGGCAATTTAAGTGCTGATTTGAATCCACAAATACTGAAGAATGCTGCAGTTCCGGCTGGTGCGACCGTGGAAACGGGTACTGGTCTTGGGGTATCGGCCAGCGAGCCGAGCACGCCACATAATTGCCTGAGACAGCAACACGGTGTAGTGCGTATTCGTCCGCAGGCTAATATGGATGCCTTTTTTGTGTTTTGCGATCAAAAGAACCGAGGCGGCGGCTGGACTGTGATCACAAATCGTATAGATGGCTCTGAAGACTTTAACCGCAAGTGGGAGGACTATAAAATTGGGTTTGGGCCACTAACAAATGAGTTTTTTATTGGACTGGAGAAGCTGCATCAAATCACAAATAGTGAAGATAACGAACTATTGGTACAACTGGAAAATCGCAAGCAGGAGAAGCGTTATGCCCTCTATGATCACTTTAGCATTGGCAGCGAATCGGAGCAATACCGCCTGAATGTACTAGGAAATTACCAGGGCGATGCCTCCGATGCACTGCGTCAACACAACGGTAGAAAGTTCAGTACGTATGACAGGGAAAACGATGAGAATGAGGTTAACTGCGCAGTTGCACAGTCGTCCGCCTTTTGGTATAGCAACGCATGTACTCTAAGGTAAGTACAACGTCTCTAAAGATACCCAATTCCAATATGTATCCTTTTCCTTAGCAATCCATTTGGCATTTATCAGCGCTTGCTAGAACGCGATGTGGATAGCTATAAGGGCATCTTATGGCGCGGCTTTCTCGATGGCCCTAAGGGTTCCCTGAAACTGATGCGCTTGCTAGTACGTCCACGTACCAGCAGCAGTTAAACACATTATCTATCTGCATCATATGTTCACATACAATATATTGATAAATACAGAGATTATTCGCGTTTTAAAAGTACAACAAATCTCGAATAAATAATTAAAAAAGCCCAAGTATAAATGCGTGCGTCGGGTTAGCCCGACATCCAGATACCGTGTACCCAAGCCTATTTGTCTTATCTAGATAGAGTTAATATACATTTTCGATTAAAAAAACCTATCTCACATTCTTATACATAGTTTAGTGCTGGTGATTTTCGCTTTAAAACACAAATTTAAGGTTATCTGTTTTTCGTCCGTTTTAAAACCTTCAAAACATAACAAACATATTAAAAAATGTCTGTCGTTCTTTAAACCGGTTTTGTAACTACAAAAGGTAAATGTATCCTGTGTGAATATAAGTTAGACTGCCTAGAATCATATCATAAACTTATGATTTTTGAAGTCAAATGGATGGACACAGAGGCAGACATGACCTTATCGAATTGGTTGTAAATACTGATCAATACAAATAGGTATAATGATAGTTATTCCGGCATTTACGTACAGAGTATAGAACCTAACACTTAAACACAAAGCAAAAAAATGTATAAGTGACTTATTTCCATTCTAGACCTCATTGAGATTGTCTGTTCCCTCAATAGCTTGCGTAGTTGTGCGGCTGGTTGTTGTGGTTGTGGGGTCCTCATAGCCCTTGACTACCAAAGCATCGCCAAAAATGGGCTTGAAAAATAAAACGAAGCGGGAATAACGACGTGCGGAATTCTAGAAAGAAAAAAAAGCATAAGGATAGTTAAAACCCAAATTTCTCACATTGATACGTACAACATGTAAGAGGCTCTAGTCGGAATGACTAGGGGATACCCTAAACCAAAGGCAATATAAACCCTAAGATGGGTAACGCCCATACATTTGAATGCGACCCAACATTTTTGCCTGGCTTTTTGGCTTTTCGCTATTCAAACGACACGCCAGCCGTCTGGCCTTTCGCTCTCCAAAAGCCATACGTACGAAAACCGATGTCGTGAGTCGTGATACGGCTGGTCGATGGTGCTCTGCGTCGTTTCATTTTCGAAGTACATTGAGCGAAGAAGTTTACTTCTTACAGTACTTTCTCCATGATATGCATGCTTTATATGAATGATATATTATCTCAGATACTATCGATATATTTAAAATGAAAATTGATAAGTAAAATAATTTGATCACAAAGCGCACCTTTTGCAATAACTATCTTCAGAAAATACGCTTACGTAAAATGATTCTACATTAGTTTTGGACATTGTATGCTGTTGGCTGCCAAACAAATTAATTTTGTTCTTTTTTACCGCTGACCATGACCTATCCCAAGTTTGTATTCACATATAATTTATTATTAAGCCGATGCAAATAATTATATAAGACCCCGTCTTAGCGTACACATTCATGAGATACGAATCTTATTAAGAGATCCCATACTTTTATCTCTTATACTATGCGTATGCTTCTATTCAAAATTTGAGACAGTAAGGATTCCAGCAATTTCTTTTAATGCCCATATTGGTCTTTCTGCGTATTGTAGGTTGACGGATACCTAGCTTTTCGTAGGAAATCTCATTATTTATAGTCGAATTGATTATTATCGTCAGAAAAATGTGTTTATTCAAAACCTGTTTCCCATTTAATAATTTACTATTAGTAATTTTATTTTTCTAAAGAAAAATTAAATGAAAAATATACTTACCATAATTAGACGGGAAAGAGCTTGGGAGACTTGGGTGACCGTTCGGAAAGATTTGGTGAACAGCTCGTCGGGAAGCTCGAATGAGACGTTGCTGCGGTCCAGTTCCGGCGCGTCACTTAGATCTTTACCCCCGGCGCGAGTCCGACGTTTGCTCTGCTTGAAAAAGCAGAGAAAGACAAAATTGAAATAAGAGAGGATTGTGAGTAAGCTGTCTTATCAAATCATGCTACTTATTAAACATAAAAGAGACAAGGCCAAGGCTACCGCTAGACCCCATAGGCGCATTGAAACTTCCGGTTTTGGGTTTGTTTGCATTTTTTTTTTTTCTTTTTATATATTTTGTTGATACATATGTAAAAATTTTTTGCTTTATTTATCGTTATTAAGTCGAACATTACATACATATATGCGCCAATATTTACAAACATGAGTACAATGCGTAGCATAAAATTAAACTTATATATTGCCCTGACGACAAAGAAATTGACAGCGTTTAACAAAATTAAATCTTAAGTCTAAACTACAACAACAACAAAAAATCATACAAAGTTTAAATGTCAATGAAGGAGTGCGAGCATCAGAGGAAAACTTAGGACTGTTCACTCCTGCAGAGTGTGTGATGTACATAAATTATAAAACCATATTGTAGAAGGGACCATCGAGCGATCCAGGCCTGGTCATCCAATGTCAGCTAGGTAGCCAGTTAGCCAATTGATTTAATAGCCTGCCTCATCGGAGTCGGGTGCAGGTGTTGTGACGCCTGCAATGCCATTCACTCCGCCCGACGATCCCTGCAATATGGGCCCCGAAAAACTTAAAAACTTGGACACCACATTGCCCAAGCCTGCATTAGCATTTCCATTGCCCGATGAGGAGCCGCTAAAAGCAGTTATAGTAGTCAATACGCCAGTCGTCAGATCATTGGCAATATTGCCAATTGAGCGTATCTTTGGCGAAACGACGGCTGTGATTAAAGTCTGGAAGTCCTTAATTGGCACCGGCGCCTTAATGTCCCACTGCTTATTCTTCTCAATGTTCGATCGATCCAGCTGCTCAATCACGCGTGTCTTTGTGTCTAGAAAGTTGTCGATCTTCTGCAATGGAACGTAGTCAGAGCAATCATTAATCAAAGAATGCATTCCATCGTATTTAACTACTTACACCAAAGACAAATCCGAGCACGGCATTTTTCGCCTCAAATGTCGCATCGGGCAGTTTTCTTTTGTTGCGTTCAAGGTCAGCGCCTAACACCTCCTAGAATAGAATGGTGAAAAGAGAACACAAGAGAGATTGGCAAGGTGACATTGGATTCGCGTGATTTGCCAAGTTGAAGGCCACTTGTAGCCATAGTTGCGCATTTCTTTATACCGCGCATATTTTGGCTTGAAAACCAATTGAGCTGGAATCTCGGCCAGGTGTGACTTAAGAAAATGTCGATTTCTTAAATTCGTAGACACGGGTAAGGGTGATCACAAGAGGTCACCCTTGTGGTGATCATTTAATTTTGTAATTTGGATAAAAACGCGGGAGATATTGATATTTGTTGATTGACCGTCCCCGACGTAAGCCAACAATTTTTAGCACGGTGTGTCTCTGATATGCACGAGAATATATTTGACAGACAGACATCAAGATTCTACAAAACCAATACACTCTGTTCTCGTCGCAAAGTATAGAAAAAAAAAAAATTATGCAAAAGACTGCATAATACTCTTTTAAAGCCCTGACTTCCACAAAAATTGAGTAAGATATTACGTCTTCAAATTTTGACACGTTCTTAACGGGCATATATATATATATATATATATATATATTTGTAAGGAACCATCTTTGGAGGAGCACATCAATAGTCATCCTTAACTTATAAGCCCTTGTACAATTATGTTTTACCGATCATAAAATCATAAAATTGCGATCATAAAATTTGCTTCGCAAGCATTAATTTAGTCGGCACCGAACGGATCGAATCCCTATATTATATAGCCACCATATAAACGATCGGTTGAAACGAAGGTTTATTAATAAAAAACTTGTTGCTTACCAAAATATCTTGAGAAGACTCAGCGTTCTTAGATGGTCCTTTCAAATGGGCCAAACCTTATAATTAGGTCATTTCAGCTCAAATGCTGCAGAAGATGTAGACTTTCGCGGTCTTGCATACCCACAACGGGCGTAGTCGTAGCCAATCTTACACAGTGTAGACGAGTGTGCATTACAAAGTTATAGATTATTCAAAGGCATCGAAAAACATAAAGTTAATACGGAGACATCAAAATCGACAGCAAGACAGACGTTGTACAAAACCAACAAATACTTTTCACATTTTAAACAATATATACTTGAAATCGAACATCGAGGCAGGTTAGACCTAAGCCGATTAAAAGCGCAACACAACCGATCAAAATTCAAGTGACTATATATGAATTTATAGACTCAAATACACAGACACACATAGACACAGAAAAACATGTTGAACACATACGTTTATTCTAAGACCCTACAATATAGGTATCACGGGCTTTGACAGCAAGGCGATAATTCGGCATTCAATGCAATCATGTTTGTAGATGCTTAAAATTCATAACGTCATTGTCAATTTAAAAACAAACACTTGTGTGCGTTTCCAATGTTTCCAATGTACGTACATCAAAATTCACTAATTTCTAAACAAAACGCATGCGCAACGCGCACAGCCCAAGCCGGTTACCTTTTGTTATTGTACGGTCAGCTTGGAGTGCAGATGACTATGCCAACGTACAGATAATTAAACGAACTGTAAATACTGTTGGTTTTTGAATTTTTCAAAAAGTGGATACCAGTAAAGCCAGTAATTATTTTCCTATGTAAAGCATATAGTTAAGGCTAAAAAAACTCTACTAAAAATCTTAATATCTCACAGATTTCAACTAATACACATATAATCGGATAAAATGATTAAAGGATATTTCGATAATTAAGATAACCATAAAGAGAATAATTAAGCTGTTCCTCCATTAATGTTAGGTAGCCGGACGTTTGACCACATTTAACCTTGACATTATCAATCAATTGGTAGGCACATCATGTTAACATCTGAATACTGACTTTAGCTTTGATTCGTATTTTATTTATGTTCAAACTGAATATATTGCCGCAAGGGCTTATATGCGAAAATTTTTTTGATACAAATTAAAGTCTATCTGGTTAGTATTTGCAACGAGCACTTGTCGCATGTTGAAATGATGCCTCACTTTTGTTAAGCAGATCAATCAATTTTCTAATTTGTTGCGACCCAATATAATTCGCATAGTGCCTCAAATTAATAATAATTATCAGTACGGATGTTATAGTTGGGTATAACCGACTGCGCAATGCTCGATTCACAGTTAAATTATCTATCAAATCAGTCGAAAAAAGACACGTATATTTACGATATATACTATATATCTCATATACTGTATATCTCATCATTCACTTACATGCATCTCTGAATGGATATTGCACAAAACTAATCATATTATTTCACTTATTGCACCGAGTATTTACACGTTATTAGTAAAAAATATATATACAAATAAACAATATCTTAAACGATATTTATGAGAAACTTTGAGATGAGATGCTTCTTTTAAAGCTCAGTCAACTCACTAACAATATCCCCACCAGTCTCTTCTTTATCTAAGCTTCCTGTCCCCGTCAAGATTAAAGTTGTTCTAGCCGTACACATCCGTCTGTCCATCTATTCTCGTATACTGTTTGAGCTACTATAGAAGAAACATAGTAACGCGGACCTATTACTTTTTGTATGCCTTAATCGAAGTTAAGAAAATCTCATATTTGGAGGTAAGGATATATAAATATCCAAAAAATTACATAAGATCGGACTAAAACAGCAGGAATATTCAAGAATGTATTTCCCGCAATGTGGGATGGAAGAGTGTTTGAAGTATTGCAAGAATACTTGTAAAAGTGAATGTATGTTAAAGTGTAAGTAAGGAATTGCTACTAATTTTTAGTACAGCAGCTTGGTGCCGGATACAGGGTATATCCTAGTCACGTACTCGCAACTAGTGCACCTTGTTATTTTTGGAAATGTTAACTTAGGTCGGGCAGGTTGAGCAAGCGCTCTTTTCGCTTCAAGGTCACAATTTTAAAACTCCGAAGGGCTTGTTAACTTGGATAAGCACTTGTACACAGCTGTGCGTACATCGGATCTATACTCTCCTAATGGCGGAAAAACAGTATCAGTAGCGATTTCAGTCGACCACAAAATTAGCAAGTGCTCAGCTGCAGCTTACACAACATAAACAACTAAAAAAGAAAAAAAAAAAAAAAAAACAAAAGGCGCAACAAAGGGGCTAGCAGGCAGTTAGCAAGTGACTTTTACGCCTCAGTAGTAACTGCAGCAACAACAGGAGATGGTGGGGCAAAGGAGCTCACAACAAGTTTGTACCTCTCATGACACAATGGGCACTGGCAGTCGCAGTTTGCAGTCGCTGTGTTCATGAGTTGGATGATGTTTGCTTCCTAGTTACTGTTTGCTGTTTGTTTACTACTTTACCTCTGCATTAATGGGATTCAGCTCGGCAGGCTCGCTACTGTCCTGTAGCTCGAACAGTGGCTCCGCAGGTGCCGATATCGTCAGTTGGGTTGTGGCCAATAGCAGCAGGGCCATCATCATGCATCTCATTGCGAACTTCATTTTGTTAGCTTACGTCCTGATGCTCTTACAGATCTATGCAGTTGCAAAAAGAAAGAAACAAACAACAAGAAGCGGTCAGTTTATATTTCCAGGCGTAACACACGGCGCATGCGCAATATCGTCGCATGTGACCTTTAGCTGTGGGGCTCCCCACAAATGCTCTGCCCATCTTACATAAATACATATGTATATACTCTATATGCACGCACCAACTAAATTGTAGTAAATGAGCTTCGTAAGCCACAATTGGTATGCAAACTGAACAGAAACACACAACAGCTACAACAGCCCGCAATTACTACAACACAAGCCAAACTTTTGGAGCAGCTGCCGCAGATATGCGATACTAGCACGTTCACTAACTTTAAGCAAATGACTGCAGACGAAAGTTACTTCAATGATTTAGCAGTGGCCAAAAATCGGTTACACAGCCAAAGCGCAGTCGTCGAGCTTTTGCAGTCGACGTCGGCGTCCGCATAGACCTCATTTGGCCAACAACCAAAAATACAAACAACAAATATACATTCGACCATAAATATATATATATATATATATATATATATATATGTATATGTAGATATTATGCGATCATACCTACGAGTGGACATGCATGTATTGTACAATTGTGTGTATGTATGTATGTATGCATATACATCCACAGTGCATGTATACAAAATGTAAGACTGAGAAAACCGAATTGAATTTTATTACGCGCGCGCTCGCATAGGCGTCAATGGCTCGGCAACGGCAACGGCAACGGCAATATCAGTATTCAAGGCGGCGTCAGCGTTGACGCCGACGCTGCCGTCAGCGTAGACGCCGCTGTCGGCGTTAACGCTGCTGTTGGCGCTGGCAGCGCATTGAAGCGACAAACACGTTTTGAGCGCAAATTTCAACAAAACTGCTCAATAAAGTGCAAAAGCTGTAACGAAGCCACTAACAACAACTTTAAAGGCTCAAAAACCTCTTTAATTTGTTGCAGCTGTAAGTGTTCGTTGCTGGATTTTTTGCAATGCTCTTTTAATTTGAACTTTTGGTTTTTAATTAAAACACAAGTTGCTCGTACATACTTACATATACATAAATTCGCATGCGCAATCATTTTGATTTACTCCATTCTTATTTCAAGCACATTTAATGATTATTTTGTTATTTTACTCGATTAACTGAAATGCATAATATTGACACATGAAATATGCTGTATATAAACAGTGACTCTCCCCTTCACTGCACTACATTATTTAAGTAATTCGCCCTATTATTTCGAATACCCCTTACGCAATTTACAAGAAGGTGGCATTCCTATTCATATTTATATATAATACATACAGTCGTTTGAGCCACTATTGTCTGTCTGTCTATATGACAGTCGAAGCGAGCTTAAGGACAGCTAAATGGAAAATTTGTGGTCATTCATTTTTAGAGTTCTGGTCCAAAGACGACTTCGTTTTTGTTCGGGTCCGAAACTCGTTCACTTGCTCAGAGAGCAAAACAGTAAGATATCCATATGGTTTGTGTGATAGAACGGCATTGCTGCTTCTTGTCTTGCTTCAACTTAAGGAAATTGCTCTGGCTTACTCTCAGTGCTCTTTCATTATGTCTAGATACCGTTTCAATGTTCGTATGTGTATGTGTCTGCACAAGTCAAAATGCCCACAAAATCCCATTTTCTTATATATCAGTGGGATTTCTTCCCTTTTGTAGGACGATTTATATGAAATAATGAAAGGGTTTGCCACGTCGTTAAGGGTACCTATGCATTGCCATTTGTGACATTGCCATGTGTGCCTATTGTAGTTTTTTGGTATTGTATTGGTTTTGATTTCTGAATGGAAAAGCTAAATATAAATATATTATCACTCCAATGTTGTTTTTGGAATATTTGAATATTTTGAAGATTTTAGATTTGAGATTTTTTTTTTCAGAATGCGTTTGAGGTCGTTCGGACGATAAACAAAGATGTTTTATACATTCGTGTTTCGTGATTTTTCCACACTTGCGGTTAAACTTTCCGTCTCATCACATTGGGTAATTCACGTAAAAATTGCAGTTCCCTAGCTTTTACGTTTTGGGCTGTGCGCTGATTACCAATCAGTCAGTTCCGGATGCTCACACGCTCCAAGGATATGTGTGGGAAAATAACAGTCACTAGTGTTGAATTCTGGTGAAAAATTAAATCTTATTTTCTTATCATACGCTCGGGTTTGGTCACGTGTCAACATTTTCTTTTTAGTACAGTACGTTTAGCTTGATCTTAATACACCTAGCTATCCCCAAATGTCAAAAAGAGAGTGCTTGTCTTAGCAGTTTGCTTATCACGGATATAACCAAACGTTTCTTATAAAACCCATCTACTATTCAATTGCAAATCTAGGCAGCTAAGATAGGTTAAGAGCCTCTTCCAGTTGAGCAGACCATTCTAAACCGCTCTTACTTGATTTAGTTTACGATATCTACATTCGTTTCCTGAACATCAATCATTATTTCTTTTAAGCTCCGATTCTCGTTTAACATATGTCAGGGAGTATAAGAGGTAGAGACCGTAAGTCTGACATCTTTGTTCTCTTGTCGAATACGCAGATCAAGAATAATTCATATCATATAATTAAATGGAATAGTGGCTTAAATAATTATTATTTAGCCATCAAAAATGTAGTTAACGTAATTGGTAGAGGGATTAAAGTCCCTACGTTCTTTGTACCCTTAAGCAAGGCCAAATGTCTGTCCCCTGGACAGATAGCCTTAGTGAGCAGACAGTCACACGGATATTAAGACAGTCGGATACCAACATACTCTTGCCCACAATGACATAAACAAAGCGACAGATGAACAGCGAGACATCCAAACACGATGCAACTGTCATCGCTTACAAGGTCGAACCAGTTGAGAGAGCAACTATCTACGGTCTCTATAAATATAAGCACTTCATTGTCGACGTCGAAGAATCTGAGCAACAGCAGCTTTATCCTACAGCTTAAACTGGGTTTGGTGGAGCTGGTTTTATCTTTTGCTCCGCTTCACAGTGTGTTAATTAACTTTCATTTGTCACACCCTGTGCCCATTAAAAATGGGTAAGACGGGTATAATGGTTTTGTGAAAATCTATGTAACATGCGAAGAAGGCATTTGCTATCCCAAAAAAATATATATTTAAATAAATATTCTTGGTCAGCAAAAAATAGTGGAGACAATCTAGCCTTGTCCGCATTTATAAAATTGTCAAATGTTGAACCTATCGGAGCTAGAAATTTGAAATTTAATAGACTTAATTTCTCCTGGTGTCCGTGTACGAGTATACTTAATATAATCGAATGATCGATTGGCATCAATGACTTCCGCCCTTTTTCGTCTTGAAGAGTGAATCTTGAAGCCTACAAATAATCTTTCCTTTATATAACCAATTACCTGCATTTTCTATCCAAGAGAGACGGGTTCGCGAAAAACGTTTTAAAGAATTATTATATTATATTATATTATTATTATAATAGAATTGTTATTCGTGAATTTCCAACTTTAGCGGGGAGAATTTCCTCTCATAGCTTGCACCGACATCACATAGTAAAAGTAAAAATTGTAGCTTCCCTGCTTTTACAGTTTGTCTTGTGCGTTGATCACCAATCAGTCAATCAGGATTAACAGTGTTATACAAAATTATGTATGTATATAGTCTTTGGCAATTTTATTTTGGCTTTTTCTCTAAAAATCCGAATGTTGGTAAGACGTATGAGACGTTGCAAGTTTGTGGTAAATGGGGGCGCGAAAGAAAAAGCAGCGCTGCCGCTGCGTAAGTTTCGCAGTTGAACGCACATGAGTGTATTTGTTAAGCATGAATGCATCTATAAGTACCTGCATTCACATTCGGCAATACATATTTGGCTATATCTTATGATTTGGTCAATTCAAAGCGTGCTGGTATATGCCACAACAAATACTATTCTTCAACATCGTAGGTTTAAAGACATAGAACTATCAAATTTGAAATGTAGCTTTTCATGTAGTATACACAGATTAAGTATATTTTATTCTGTGGTTAGCATCAAGAACCGAGTTGATCCGGTTGTGTCTGTCTATTAATCCAATCGTATGTATGAACTCGCCAATCCCAGCAACTAATAGAAGGAGTGGGCTCTTTGAAGAGTTGCAGTACCTCTGTAACTCTTTCTCTTGCAGCAACACAAGTATTGTACCTGGCACTGAATTGTGGGCCAGTGTGCTCAAGCCAGTTGCTGACGCTGTTACTATTGGGATACATGAAAATTCAAGTGGCCGCAACACTTCGAAAATAATTGCATTCATATAAAAAACGAACATGGCACACAACTAATATGCCTTTTTACTTTGTGAACAGTGGATAGAAACTTATGCCGTAACTTCTAATTCCAAGTGCAATGAAAATGCTGTCATTAAATTTGTAACGCGTTAAAGGATACGTATCCAACACCATTCTGTTCATATATACATGATGAGTATCATCAGTCGAGTCGATACAGCCAAAGACAATGTACACACTTTATTCATATTGTCTCTGATATAGCCGACAAAATAAGCCGCAAGGCGTTACAGCTTTGTTAATGATCGGACATACCTAGAGAAAAGCCATTCCATTAACGAGGAGTCCGCTTTCCATATTAAATATGGCGGATCTAAAGAGGAAAACTTAAAAAATAAAAATCGGTATTCGAGCCCAGCTACGGGATAATTCCTTTGCTCTATTATCGTGGAATCAATATATAGAACAATCTTAATATAAAAGCATCTGCAGTAGTTGCAATTGACTAATTTCTACAACTCTTACACCACTAATGATATTGTGTGAGTTTGGCAAAAATGGCCACACATTAGGAAATCAGAATGTGGCGCTGACATCTGCATTCCTGTCGGACAGCACCGACCTGATCCCTGCCAGAGAAGTACGTAGTAGTTCATTGCCAGTATATACAAAAACCTATCGACTAGGAGAAGTCATGTATCGACGCGACATTGCTATGAAAATATGAGAACCTTATCTGAAACAGCCAAGTGTGTTTTAGTGGCCTACTAGGAGCTTCCTTGAGTCCAGTGCCTAGCTGTCGTCATAAACAGTCTACACGAGACTTTCTCAAAAATTAGTTTAATTAAATTTGTTGTCTCTAGCTCTTGAAATTCTTAAAATATGCTCAACATCGGCGTTCAATACAGTTTTTTATAGTTTACATCGAAATGGGGCAGCTTATGATCGTACTAGGATTAAGCGCATTCCAAATTTCAAGTCTATAGCTTGGTTGACATACGCCTTTGATCGGCTTCTCCAGTATATCTACACATAATTAATAGATAACTAACTTTTATCGGAAGTCTTTTCTTAACTCTGTACAATGATATTTAAAGTATTTTCTTTCTTTCTAAAAATGCCAGCGTGAATGTTCTAGCTATTATGAGCTCCTAGATTTGCTTT